ATGTGTCACGCTATTTCTGATACTTCGAAGTCCATTTTCCTGCAAATCATTCGATTTTCCTTAATACAGAGGAAAATCTCCCTCCCAGACCCTGACACTAATGCAATTGCCTTCATATGTAGAGGCCATCTTCGTTCGTGATCGGATTCATTGGTTAGGAGTAACAATGATAGCAAATATTCTCACCTGGGCCAATTTAAGAGCAGGTAAATCCAGAGTACACGAGCAAGAAAATATACCAGGCGCGATGGGGCAACTTACTCGACCAGATAAGACCTCATCGACGACTGCCAGCACAGAACCCGCGGCTAAAAGAGCGCAATCGTAAGTGTGCTGAAATAGAAGAATAGAACTTAATAAGAAAATAAGTCAGAATAATTATTACAAAAATTAAATTTAATGCCAGCTTTGACGAAAGAATCAGGAGGCCATATCCTCAAGCTAAAGAGGCTTAGCTTCAAATGAACCACCTGATGATTGGCACTATTCGAAAACGCTAGGATTATAAAAGTATGCATACAAACTAATTAAAAAACCCTAAGCATAGATAAGAAAAAAAATTTAAAACCAAAATGGAGAAGAAATGAGCCATTTCTGTGCTCATGTTCCCATATTAAATAAAATATTTCAAAACTAAAACAGAATCCGTGACAACAAAGATTCATAAAAATATTCAGTAGTTAAATATTATGCCTTTTTTAGCTTCGAAATAATTTCGCATTAAATTTAGATTTCAGTGAGGGATACAGCACAGAAAAACACATTTTGCTTCCGTTGTTTGACCTCGTTTTGACAACTTGGTCATATTGGCAGTGAGATTTAGATAAAAGCACTTAGTCAGGAGTCCATAGTGTGTACGATAATTTCCGGAGTCGGATCGTGGGCGTGGTACATTCCCAGACGTTTCGCCAGAATAGTAGTCGGCATCGCCAATGAACATTGTCAGTCTTAGTAACACACTACAACTCTTGAAAGACTGATGAAGCCGATTCTTTGACCAATTCTCTGCTAAACAATCGTGATATCTCTTCTTGCTCCCTGGGCTAATAACCAATCTTCTATCCTCGTATCACGCCTTCATTATCACAATTTTTACTTGCTTATTTAAATTTGGTATTATGAGCCCTTTGGGGCTGATTTCATGAGACTTATCCACACTCCATACTGGCTTTCTCACCCAACTAGCTCTAGTCTCGGCCGCGTCTATCATGTTTCTATCCCTAATACCAAGTCTGTGACTTCCTATGCCCTAGTCTCTTGTGTGTCAACCAAAATGTTGTGGTACTGTTTGCTTTGATTAGGTTCAATGTTGAACCACAAGATTTGTGAGTTGGTACAGGGAAAATCGAAAGATACCATGATTGTTTAGCAGACAATTGGTCAAGGGATTCGCTTCATCTGTCTTCGACGAGTTGTAGTATGCTGATAAGACTGACAATGCTCAGTGACGATGCCAGCGAAACGTCTGGAAATGTACCACGTCCACGTTCCGACTGAAAATTATCATGCATACTATGGACTCCAGATTAGCGCGTTTCTCGAGCTCTTCCTACCAATATGAACAAATTGCAAAACCAATATCAAACAACTTATATACAACGAAAAGAGACTGCGCCCGCACAAAAGGCTACACCATCTTAGTCTTCATACATTAGAAAAGTAAATAATGTTTTATAAGACATTAAAGTTGTTAACTTTCATGATGCTAATGAATCTAACTTTGCCTTACCTCTTAAAAAATTATCATCCAAGGTGGACTTAAATTTCAATCTTATCAAACGTTATTATGTAGTGAATTAGTGTATTTGGAATCTATCAGTATATCTTGAATAAGTACCTTAGGCAACATAAGATGAATTTTACCACAATAAAATGACTTGTTAATGTAATTCAAGTTAAGATGTCCTTTCCGACAAAAATTTTTTTCATCCATGACTGACTACTGTCTCAGCATAGTGAAGTCTACTTATTTTGCTGTGGGAAAATTCAATTATCAGGAATGCATCTTGTGCGGAATAGATAGTATGCATAATAATTTCCTGAGTCGAACCTTTGACTTGGATTATTTACAGACCATTCGCCAGTACCGTAGTCGGTATCATCTATGAGCCTTATCATTCATAGCTCCACGCCACAACTCGTTAAACAGACAAGTCATTAAGTCAGTTTAAACGACCTAGGGTAAACAAAGCCCCAGCTCAAGTTCTAGTGAAGATATAACTAAGTCTTAAACCTATTCACAACTACTGCCGAAAAAATGAAGGTACACCAGCTCTGACAACAACTAAGACAGCAAAAATAGGGGAACAAAATTAATGAGATGATCAAAGAAAAAATAAACTGATCTAAAATATGGAAGAAAATGCATAAAAGCGCTGTAAATAGAATCCTGAAGAGTATGCATCAATAAATTAGAAGAAATGACATTAATAGAGGATAATGGTATAAGATAATCAAGAAAGATATTCAAAGGAAAAATTCGTAGTCATTTTTACTTTAAAAAAGTTTTAAACAAGCAGGTTTGAAATTTCATAGCTGGTAAATAGGACGAATCTAATAAAGATTGTCAGGAAAAGGCTAGTAATATGGTAGCATTAAGCTTAAATTTTATTTTTAAAAGTTGGGGAAAGAGAATTGTAAACTAGCATCATTGGAAACTATTCTTAGATAAGCATTCGGTAAAGTCTGCTAAATAATTATTTTTTGCTCCGATGTCTTCAAATAGCGAACGAAAATTCAGAACAAATTAATCAGAACGGCGGAAAGGTGGGCAAAGGATGTCTTAACACAATTGGATTATTATGTTTTTATTTCTCCATAGGTTTCCGATAAGGTCTTGTGGTTTCTCAGGTGTTCACATATAGGAAAAAAATGATTAGTGTTAACTAAGATACGACTTGTGGGCAATAATCCGTAAACTGAATTTAAATAAAATATGATGCTTTCACTATATAAG